GGTATTGTTTTCTTTAGGTGGTGTGTTAGTGGTGGGTTTTTTTTTTCTTTAGGTGGTGTGTTAGTGGTGGGTTTTTTTTTAGGTGGTGTGTTAGTGGTGGGTTTGTTTTTTTGGTGGTGTGTTAGTTTGGGTTTTTTTTTTTAGGTGGTGTGTTAGTGGTGGGTATTTTTTTTTAGGTGGTGTGTTTTTGGTGGGTATTTTTTTTTTAGGGTGTGTGTTAGTGGTGGGTATTTGTTTTTTTAGGTGGTGTTTAGTGGTGGGTATTGTTTTTTTAGGTGTGTGTGTTGTGTTTTTGTTTGTTTTTTTGTTTTGTTTGGTGGGGTGTGTTAGTTTAGGTGGTGTTGTTTTTTTGGTTGTGTTTTTTGTGTTTTTAGTTGTTGGTTTTTTTTTTTTTTTTTTTTTTAGTGGTGGGTTTGTTTTTTTAGGTGGTGGTAGTGGTTTGTTTGTTTTTTTTAGGTGGTGTGTTAGTGGTGGGTATTGTTTTTTTTAGGTGGTGTGTTAGTGTGGGTTTTGTTTTTTTTTGTGTTTTTAGTGTGGGTTTTGTTTTCCTTTAGGTGGTGTGTTGTGGTGGGTTTGTGGTTTAGGTGGTGTGTTAGTGGTTTTTTTTTTTAGGTGGTGTGTTAGTGGTGGGTATTGTTTTCTTTTTTTTGTGTTAGTGGTGTGTTTGTTTTTTTGTATTGTTTTGTTTGTTTTTTTAGGTGGTGTGTTAGTGGTGGGTATTGTTTTCTTTAGGTGGTGTGTTAGTTGTTTTTTGTTTTTAGGTGGTGGTGTGTTAGTGGTGGGTATTGTTTTTTTAGGTGGTGTGTTAGTGGTGGGTATTGTTTTCTTTAGGTGGTGTGTTAGGTGGGTATTGTTTTCTTTAGGTGGTGTGTTAGTGGTGGGTATTGTTTTTTTAGGTTTGTGTGGTGTGGTGTTGTTTGTTTTGGTGGGTGTTAGTGGTTTTTTTTTTTAGGTGGTGTGTTAGTGGTGGGTATTGTTTTCTTTAGGTGGTGTGTTAGTGGTGGGTATTGTTTTCTTTAGGTGGTGTGTTAGTGTTTTTGGTGTGTTGTTAGTGGTTTGTTTTTTTAGGTGGTGTGTTAGTGGTGGGTATTTTTTTTTTTTTTAGGTGGTGTGTTAGTGGTGGGTTTTGTTTTCTTTAGGTGGTGTTTTAGTGGTGTGGTTGTTTTTTAGGTGGTGTGTTAGTGGTGGGTATTGTGTTGTTTAGGTTTGTGTTTGGTGGTGGTATTGTTTTTTTGGTGTGGTGGTGGGTGTTTTTTTTTAGGTGGTGTGTTAGTGGTGGGTATTGTTTTCCTTTAGGTGGTGTGTTAGTGGTGGGGGTGTGTTTCCTTTGGTGGTGTGTTAGTGGTGGGTTTTTTTTTTAGGTGGTGTGTTAGTGGTGGGTATTGTTTCCTTTAGGTGGTGTGTTATTGTGGTGGGTTTTTTTCCTTTAGGTGGTGTGTTAGTGGTGTGGTATTGTTTCCTTTAGGTTGTGTGTTAGTGGTGGGTATTGTTGTTTTTTTTAGGTGGTGTGTTTGTGGTGGTGGGTTATTGTTTCCTTTAGGTGGTGTGTTAGTGGTGGGTATTGTTTTCCTTTAGGTGGTGTGTTAGTGGTGGGTATTGTTTTTTTTAGGTTTTGTGTTAGTGGTGGGTATTGTTTCCTTTAGGTGGTGTGTTAGTGGTGGGTATTGTTTTCTTTAGGTGGTGTGTTAGTGGTGGGTTATGTTTTTCCTTTAGGTGTGTGTTGTTAGTGGTGGGTATTGTTTCCTTTAGGTGGTGTGTTAGTGGTGGGTATTGTTTCCTTTAGGTTGGGTGTGTTGTGTGGTTATTGTTTTCTTTAGGTGGTTTGGTAGTGGTGGGTATTGTTTTCCTTTAGGTTGTGTGTTAGTGGTGGGTATTGTGTTCCTTTAGTTTTTTGGGTTTGGGGTGTGTGTGGGGGGGTTGTTAAGTTGGTTGTTGGGGGGGGGTAGTTGGTTTGTTTGTGGTTTTTTGTTTTGTGGGGG